CGTTCCCTTCAGGTCAGCCGTGTTCGGCCGTCCCTTAGCGCCTGGGCGAATCCAGGCGCCGCGGTGACCAGCAAACACGCTGATGGGTTTAAGCAGCTCCTCGACTTGGTTTTTATTTGCACACCCCCCCCCCACCCCCCATCCAGTGTTTTATTGCAGTTGTCAATTCCTACCTGGAGAGCTGAAACATGCTGAAATCGCCTTGCTTCTCTTGCCACTTTTTGGAGACGCCTCAGGGCCCGGCTTTGGGGTTGCGCTGAGCACATTTAGACAACTAATTCGTTTAGGAAAACGCCAGTTAGTGTTCTTACAGCCAGGTGGGAAGGGTGAGGGTGGAGGGAGACGAAGGGTTAATGAGCCTTAGAGCGCCGTGCAGGGTATCCCGCGGAACCAGGGGTGTTTGGATGCAACCAGGGACAGACGGACAGACGCTCTGTACAGTTATTGCATCTTTCTAGGACTGGCAGCTTCTACTGATTCCTCCCCCCCCAAATCCTGCATTATATATTTTAAAAATAATTTACAGCAGAGCTTTCCCTAACTGTCGAGCAAAATGCTTTGCCTGTGTGACGAATTTAGGAAGACCCCACCTGCAGGCATGGGAAAGGAGTAATGTGTGTATATATATATATTATTTTTTTTAGGTTAATATTAGGTAATTTTAAGCAAACCAAATGACAAACGACAGGTTGCCTTACGTCCTTAGGTGCCACGGTGTCGCCTGGACTTGTAGCTGACTGCTGTTTCTAATGGGAGGGTCCAGACCTTTGGCAGCTCCTGTCAGGAGAAAAAGGGGAGGTTCTTGAGAAATGGATTAAAGGGGGATTAAACATCACTAAAACACAAATATTAAACTTAAAAAAAAATAAAGTTTAACAAAATTACAACATCTCCTCTGATAGGCGCAGCTGCTGAAGTGTCCTTTGAGCAACAGGAGGCTCGCCCGGGCAGAGTCACCACCACAAATTGTTCTTTTTTTGCGGTTTAATTTTTTTTTTTTTTTTGAAAATAAATGCACTGAGGCTTTGGCGGACAATTCAAACACCCCCCAAAGCACCCGGG